TCTCTAAATACCTGAATAGAAAACTTCATAGGTAAACGATGTGAATTCCCCAATCAAACCATTGGCTTTGATGATGCCTGTCAAGGTTGAAGGGACATGGAGTGGGAACACGTGTGTCCAGAAGATAGGACCTTTCTTTGCCGGCTTCTGCTCCGCAGTCCAGGTCTCCTCGAAGTTGACTGGATTCATAGCTTCGGATCCTTGATGACTACTCCATTAACTGTTGTAGGGGAAAAACATCACAAAGTCTAGTAAAGCAAAAAGAAAGTTATATCTGACATATATTCAAAAGGGCAGAAGTGGGAAAATGGACAAGCATGCTGCCACAGCCATGTCTGCCCGAGTCCAAAGAACAGTTTTTTGTTTTTTATTCTGATGAGTAGAATTGTTAGTTTCCTTTGTGGTTACCTTAATATTTACCTCTGCTTTTCAAGTTTATGCCAGGCTTTTATTTCTTTATATTGCCCCAACTTCATATGAAAGATCTATGTGTACATTTTTTAAGTCCCTCTTTTTTGTTTTAATGTTGTCATCTTATACATATTGACATCTGTGTTTCCCTATTTCTAGTGTTTTGGCTTTGATTTATTTGTGACTTCCCTATCTGGGTTAATATCTGGTTGTTCTGTTCTATGTGCTAGTCTTGGGTTATTACCTGATGTTATTGATTTTCTAACCAGAGGACTCCCTTTAGTATTTTTTGTAATTTTGATTTGATTTTTACAAATTCCCTGAACTTCTCTTTATCTGGAAATGCCCTAATTTCGCTGTCATATTTGAGAGACAGTTTTGCTGGATATGTAAGTCTTGGCTGGCTATTTTTTTCCTTCAAGGCTTTATATATGTCATCCCATTGCCTTCTTGTTTGCATAGTTTCTACTGAGTAGTCTGAGCTCAGTCTTATTGAGTCTGCTTTTTAGATGTCTTTTTGTTTATCCTTAACTGCTGTTAAAATTCTTGCTTTATCTTAGGTTTTGGCACATTTGATTATAATATGTCTTGATGACTTTCTTTTGGACTTTACCTTGTATGGGGTTCGATGAGCTTCTTAGATAGATATCTTCTCATCTTTCATGATATCAGGGAAGTTTTCT